GGTTTATTATTGAAAATACAAACTGCTAGTCTGCCAGCAGAAGGCGCTGTGAGAGCGGTGGAACTAACGGTTTCTCCAGTAATGGCTGTAAACAAAGCAGCTCCGCTCATGAACGCTACTTTATCAGATAAAAATGCCATCTAAACTATTCTGAAGACAGTCAGTTCCCTTCAGAGATACATTCATATAAAACACCCGCGACGCGTTATGATTTTGAAACGTGCAGTGCTCATGTTTATTCAACGAAGTCAAATGCTACAAATAAATCAATGTATGGGAAACACTGGTAATGTATATCGGAAATGTGTTTAAAAATCATATCACCGTTATTGAAAAACATTATATCGCGATACATATTGATATTGAATTATTGTCCAGCCCTAAATAGAATATGTAAAATGTCAGTAAAATTAATATTAATTTTAGCCTTGCTTGACCACTCACAACACCCTGACTCAAACACAACAAAATTAATCTTAATATATTATGTCCTAGCCGCATCTGATTTCAATATCCTAAAAGAAACCATATATTTACACATCTAAATATAACATTCAATTACTTACATGACACAGGTGAACTCTTTTAAGATGATCTTGACAAATCTGACAAAAAATATGAAAAAACAATCACAAAAAGATTAAAAGAAGTATAGCAGGAAAGCATATTACACGATTCACATATATGTTGTTTAATTAAATAATTAAATTTCACTAACCAACTACAAAATACATTAACAGAATGTATGATGCTACACTGTAAAATAAACAAATAAATGAATACATATACATAACAACTGCTGCATGGCATTGTAACGAATCAGCTCATGGGAAATATGAATAATTAATCATAACTAGTTATAATTAATTATGAATATTTAGATCCGCTGTAGATATTTAGCTGACCTCTCAGGGTCAACTGTCTTGTCGATTCTAAGAACGTTAATTTCCTGGTTAAGGGAAATAACTTTCTTACTGTACAATTCTACAAAAGCTTGTAGCATAAATCTGCATGATTAAGTGACTCCAGTTATAAGCAAACAATGAACCACGTCAAGTGTGATACAAGTAAGGTTTTATTAACTACACAAACACTTAAACTAGTCTAACAGACTACATAAACACATAAACTGGTCTAACATACACATACACACACACACATAGCAAGGAAGCGATTTTCTTCCCCTAAATTCCAGGAGGTCGTAAATGTATCGGGTGTCAGGGTTACCATGGAACCAGGGGCCTGTTCGGCTTCCTGGGGTGTTACAGAGTATTTGTTAAATCTAGCTAACAAAATATATATTGTGTGTTTGAGTGGTCCAGACGCTACAGCATATATTTAATACCTAAATACAAATATTGAGAAAGTGTTTGACAGTCAGCTGAAAAAAATATACTTACAAAGCCAAAGACACTCAGTGCAGTGGAGCCTTTGGGTTGAAGCAGCTACTGACACAAAAACAAAGGGGATAAAAAGAAAAAGCATCACACAATACGAGTCAGATAATACATATATCTGTACAAATTAAAATTTACTAATTTTTAATCAATGATTATTGATCAGTGTGTTGAACATGGCAAATCCAAGATGCAGGATGACTGCTAGATTGATCACTTACAACAATCGAATGACACTCTGAAAAAGAAAGAAAGAAAAAAAGAATACATATTTTAATTATTGAAAATGATTATAATTTTAGTTGAAAATTACTTTTTTTTTAATTTTCTTCCTAGTGTATACACAGGCCTAAATGTTTTACTTTTATTGTAAGCCTTTGTTATTAAAAGGCAGAATTATTATTATTATCATTATTATTATTATTATTATCTCGTAGGGATAGGCTACATTAGCTTGTGGGTCTTTTCTGTCTCTCGCTCGCTCTCTCACACGTTGAGAGAGAGTGCGTGTTCAGTGCTCGTCAGTGTTGTGCACTTTCTCTCAGACAAATCTGTGAAACAAAACTGCCCTACAAAGGCAAAAGACCTTAACTCGCTAGATTGTGAAACTGAGAAAAATGACTTTAAAGTTTTTTTACTTGTCCAGCCACATTAATTATAGGTAGGACACTGGAAATTTAACAATTAGATGTTTTAGTAATGAAAATGGTCTACATTAAAAAAATGTGAGCTTAAACTTGATTTGTACCCCTATTTTAAAGTTAATGTACTCTGCCTTTGCATTGTCTGCAAAACGTGAGAAGTCACACCAAGGCAAAAGGCAGTAACTTCCACATTATCAATATTTGGTTGCTGATTTTCAAAATCGTTATAGTAACACCTGTGTAAAATCTAGTGATCATGGGCTATATCATATAGGCTATTGCATATACAGGTGCATCTCAATAAATTAGAATGTCGTGGAAAAGTTCATTTATTTCAGTAATTCAACTCAAATTGTGAAACTCGTGTATTAAATAAATTCAATGCACACAGACTGAAGTAGTTTAAGTCTTTGGTTCTTTTAATTGTGATGATATTGGCTCACATTTAGCAAAAACCCACCAATTCACTATCTCAACAAATTAGAATATGGTGACATGCCAATCAGCTAATCAACTGGCAAAGTTTCCTGAGCCTTCAAAATGGTCTCTTAGTTTGGTTCACTAGGCTACACAATCATGGGGAAGACTGCTGATCTGACAGTTGTCCAGAAGACAATCATTGACACCCTTCACAAGCGTCTCGTCTCGTTTTCGTCATGTGATAAAGGTTAGTTGACGATGATATTTTGTCATAATTTTCGTTGACGAAAGCAACACTACTCATACGTCAATTTCCCAAACACAACGTCTGGATATGACGCTGAGCACGTGCACTCAACTTCTTTGGTCGACCATGGCGAGGCCTGTTCTGAGTGGAACCTGTCCTGTTAAACCGCTGTATGGTTTTGGCCACCGTGCTGCAGCTCAGTTTCAGGGTCTTGGCAATCTTCTTATAGCCTACGCCATCTTTATGTAGAGCAACAATTCTTTTTTTCAGATCCTCAGAGAGTTCTTTGCCATGAGGTGCCATGCTGAACTTCCAGTGACCAGTATGAGAGAGTGAGAGCGATAACACCAAATTTAACACTTCTGCTACCCATTCACACCTGAGACCTTGTAACACTAATGAGTCACATGATACCGGGAAGAGAAAATGGCTAATTGGGCCCATAATTGGGTTTCATATTTAAAATATTGAATTTTTCCCAACATTTTTACCTTGTATGTTCAAAAATATTTAAAACGGTAACCGTATAAAATTATTTATACATTTTAAATGTTGTGGTGTAAATGCATTTGTGGCACCTCAGCTTCATCAAACAGTCTGTGTAAATACATCTAATGCCACTTCAGATGCAGCTTCTCTTTCCTCTGAAAGATGGAGTTTGTTGATAGTATGTGCACTCTAATGTGAACATTAAAATTTGCAAAAATAAATGACTCCACTGCTCACAAAGAGAAGTATGAACACAGATGACAACAGAGTTGCACTGTCCAAAAAGTTTTTTTTTACTTGAAGCATATATTGTCCTTTATTACAACAAAATAAAGGAAATTTCCTTTACCATAATGCACCAGAACGCTTGATTTACATGTTAAATTCTCAAAAATTTTCTTATGGGGGCTAACACACACCCGGAGCAGTGGGCTGCCATTTTTTTGCTGCGGCGCCCGGGGAGCTTTTGGGGGGTTCGGTGCCTTGCTCAAGGGCACCTCAGTCGTGGTATTGAAGGTGGGAGAGAGCGCTGTACATTCACTCCCCCCACCTACAATCCCTGCTGGTACGAGACTCGATTCTCTAACCATATGCAGAACTATGTCAACTTTTTGACCTCTTGTGAGTTTGCAGGTACAGTGGGGCAAAAAAGTATTTAGTCAGCCACCAATTGTGCAAGTTCTCCCACTTAAAAATATGAGAGAGGCCTGTAATTTTCATCATAGGTATACCTCAACTATGAGAGACAAAATGAGAAAAAAAAATCCAGAAAATCACATTGTAGGATTTTTAAAGAATTAATTGGTAAATTCCTCGGTAAAATAAGTATTTGGTCACCTACAAACAAGCAAGATTTCTGGCTCTCACAGACCTGTAACAACTTCTTTAAGAGGCTCCTCTGTCCTCCACACGTTACCTGTATTAATGGTATCTGTTTGAACTCGTTATCAGTATAAAAGACACCAGTCCACAACCTCAAACAGTCACACTCCAAACTCCATCTATATAAATGCAAAAAAATAACCACTGTAGGGAAATGGCGAGAAGAATAACCAAGTGCAGTAAACGGTAAAACGGTTTGCACTACAAACCAGTGTTTTCATAATTAGGATAATACATAAAAATAATATGGTAAGACACACCAGTTTGAAATATCAAGTCGCAAAACAATCGGTTTTGTACAGCTAAAAATAGCTGGAAGCGGGTGACACCGGAAGCCAAACACATTAAATGTACAAATGTCCGCTTCTGCTCTTATGGGAAAAATAAGGTGGATACTGGGCTGCTTATAATTTATGTTCCCACCAATGTTAAAATCATACATATGCCCTTGCTTCACATAACACAAAAATAAACCTGTCTTTGGTTTATTCTTCATTATAATACTATTACTGTAGCTGTTAATTATAATTATATTTAACAAGTCTTCTTATTATAACTACAGTGATTATACTCATTTAAAATTCATATTCATATTTTTAGGTGTTTTTTTTCTCTCTCTTATGTGTTCTAACAACATCAGAATTCTGAAAGCCAAAATATTTTAACAATATTTTTGGTGAGTTTGTAATGTAATACATTTCTTATGTAATAATTGTTATTACTTACATTATGATCTCAAGATTTTACGTTTTGAGAAAATTATTACATTATGGACATTCTATTACAATAATACTGTAATACTTATTTCATTATGTGCCGTTATTACATTGAGTTGCTACAGGGTTCACTTTTATGTTCACATTTCTCTTCTTTTTTTTTTTTTTTCAAGTTACATAATTATTTTTTTAACTTTTATTTCAGAGTTGATTAAAAAAAACAAGGAGAATGAAGAATCAAGTGAAGTTGAGGAGACAAATCATGTCAAACCTGGAGAAAAAACTTTGAGTTGCTCTCACACCAAACAGAAAGATTTAAAGAAAAGAAAAGCCAAGAAATCTTTCACTTGTCCTCAGTGTGGAAAGAGTTTCACACGCAAATATGGTCTTGATGTTCATATGAGAGTTCATACTGGAGAGAAACCATTCACTTGTGATCAGTGCGGGAAGAGTTTCACACAAGCAGCACACCTTTATGATCACAAGAACATACACACTAGAGAGAAGCTGTATGCTTGTGATCAGTGCGGTAAAACATTTTTATGGGCTTCAGCCCTGAAGCAGCACTTGACAGTTCATACAAAGGAGAAGCCACATTTGTGTCATTTGTGTGGAAAGAGTTTTTCATGTCTACCAAATTTGAAAGTACATCAGAAAATACATATTGTTGTGAGAGAGTACATGTGCTGTGAGTGTGAAAAGACTTTTACTTCAGCAAACTGTTTAAAACGGCACCAGAGGATTCACACTGGAGAAAAACCTTACAAGTGTTCCCACTGTGACAAGAGATTCAATCATTCAACACATCTGAAAACACATGAGAGGATCCACACTGGAGAGAAACCTTACAAGTGTTCACACTGTGACAAGAGATTCAGTCAGTCAGCAAATCTCAAAACTCATGGGAGGATCCACACTGGAGAGAAACCTTACAAGTGTTCACACTGTGACAAGAGATTCAGTAATTCAGGAATCCTGAAAACACACGAGAGGATCCACACTGGAGAGAAACCATATCACTGCACTGAATGTGGGAAGTGTTTCAATAATTCATCTAATCTACACAGTCATACAAAAAACAATCACAGTAAGTAGATCATCTTCAGATCCAGCACTTTCAGGCAGTGGCGGACTGGCCATCTGAAGCACCGGGAGTTTTCCCAGTGGGCCGGCCAATTGCGTAAATATATAGAATTAATTATAGTAACTGTGAGCTGAGGTAAGATGTAAGCAGCTGAATAGTGAGACAATTCAGCAATATTTGCGATAAAAAAAAAGGTTAAACAACAGATATTAATTTTCAGGGATACAAACTACTGGCCTTTTCGAATTTCTTAATGCCATTAATTAGGGCTGCACGATAAATCGAAATGGAATCAAAATCGCGATTAGATACAAGCTGCGATTGTCATGCGTATCTTTCAGTGAAGCACGGTTCTGTGATCAGCAGTAAATCTCCATCCAAAGGCCAGAGAACTCCAGGAAATGCCTATAGCGGTAGCTGGATAAACCGAAGATTTAACTGCTTTTATTGATTCAACGTGACTAATAAACACAGGACTACGGCAATATATGATTTATCTGAGTTCTTCTTATTATAATTTTCATTATAACAAAGTATATTTATAATGCAATGCCTTTATCAGTGCTTAGAATACTATGAAATATGTTGCATGCCTTATTCTGTGTAGAAGCCACATCATCTCACAGAAGGATTTATTTCAAACACTCGAATGACGTTATGAAGTGAGTTTGGAGTAAAAACATGTTATTAAATGTGGTATTTTCACATGCTTTCAGATGGAGCAGCATTTACTACACAGAGCCGTAGTTCACCGAGAAGCTATGCAAACAGCTGTCATTATCGCAAATTATTTCATAATCATGCAGTAATATCGTCTGTGTTTTTTTTTTTTTTTTTTTTGTGTAACTTGTCAGTGAACTACACTGTGTAGTAAATGCTGCTCCATCTGAAAGCACGCGATGATGATTTACTGCCGATTTCAGAACCGGCTTTACTGAAAAGATGCACATGACAATCGCATTAGATTAATCGTGCAGCCCTACCATTAATGATATTCGTCACACTATAAGATAAGAGTGAATGTTTGTAAATCTCTATTCAGGCTCACCCCCCCATAAAATATCTTTATCAAACTTACTCTGTCTAGAACATTGTAAATGTGAATACTTTTGCTTTCAAGTGCCATGATTAGGAAAGTAGTATATATTATAATAAAAATATAATTTGCTAGCCTATTTCACATGCATAACACACTGGCAGTCAAATGTTTGAAATAAGTGTAATTTATTTTCTGAAAGAAGACTGAATTTGATAAAGTACAGTAAAATATCAATATTATGAAATATTACACTTAAAAAGGGGTTTTCTATTAAAAATATTTTATAATGTATTTTATTTCTGATTAAAAACTGATTATTTAGCATCATTACTCCAGTCTTCGGTGTCACATTCCTTCAGAAATCATTCTAATATACTGATTTGCTGCTTAATTATTATCAGATATTATTTGTGATCGAATATTGCTATTGGTTCTTATTATTATCAATGTGGAAACTGTTTTTGCTTAATATTTTTTGTGGCAACTGATGCTTTAACTTTTTCAGAATTTTGATAAATAAAAAGTTGAAGAACAGCATTTATTTGAAATATAAATGATCTGTAATAAGTATACATATCTTTACTGTCACTTAATTTAATGCAACCTTGTTAAATAAAAGTATTAATTTATATAGGCTATGTTTTTAATCTTACCCATAAAAATATGAAGCAGCACAACTGTTTTAAACATTGAAAATAATAAAACAATATTTCTTGAGCAGCAAATCAACTTGTTAGAATGATTTCTGAAGGACCAATAGAAAGGCACCATAAAACCAGTCCACATTCTGCAATACATTCCAAGTCTTCTGTGTAAAAATTCTTCTAAATTATTTACTATTAGTCATATACACCAAGAAAGACAAATTATAATGTAAAGAAGTATACCACCAGTCATTCATTAATGTTAATGAAAAAAGAATTTCAATAAAAATAGATGGCATTTTGATCAGGGTTAGAAAGTCCAGGGCTACTTTTTAGCCCCAGTCCTCCCCTGCTTTCAGGTCTGATGCTGCATCATCACTAAATGGGACACAATAATGCATCAAGCAATAAAATATCATCTGGATAAATCCTTCCTAACCACCCATTGCAAGTGACATGACAAAGAAACATTATCTAAAGTTTTCACAATGAATAAAGTTCACCTTCATCTTCAAAACCAGCAGATTCAACTGTGCAATTCAGATCAACTCAAAGATGGAGTTCCTCCCCAAAGAACAATGTTAAAAAGTTTTATTATTTTGGTTTTTTATGAGTTTCATAGCATCTTCAATTGTCTTATAATGCATATGTATCACTTGTAATTTGCTTACTTTTTTATGAAGGAAAATAGAAGCTTTTACAAACTGTTCTTGTTCAGGAAGCTGAAGAAGAGGCTAACACCTCTCAAGGCCTGAGAGATTTCATTTTAATTGGTTCTTCATTGTTGTTTTTAAAAGGACTGAGTTATTCTTCCACTTAAGATGCATTTAGGAAACGCTGATGGAATATACTGTATACTGTCATGTAGCTTTGTAATTGATCCTTCTGTGCTTCTCTTGTAAGTAGAAATGAATACATGAACGCTGTATTAATTGAGCCCTGGGGATAAATTAAGAAAGATCGTAGTATTGATATGCTCTAATAAACTGTCACCCAACAAGGCAACTTTTTTTTTTTTTGATCTGAAGTGTTTCTGTACATTCTTACAATGCAAACGTGCTGCATGTAAAATGTTATTTGTTTAATGTTGTGAATTTCCCTTGTGTCTTGAAAAAATTGTATCATATTAATTACAGTAGCAAACATCAGATGAACGGACTTGAAGACATGAAGCTTCATTTCCAAGATGATGCATGGTAAGCTTTGAATTTTAATACAGTATAGAGCAACATAGTAACAGAGGCTTGCGTTGTAATATTTATTGTATATTCGAATCAATTTGTGATACTAATACCAGATATATGTTCATGTTTAATATTTCCTGCATAATTACGTAGAAATACATTTAGTGTTGGATCACTTACCTGTGTCGTAAGTGAGCATCAGACACACCCACCAAAACGATTTCAATATATGGCTTATCCTGCCCGAAAAGACCATAAACATTGCAGATAAAACCTGAAGCGAAAATTTATTTACACACACATCATAAAAACTAATTATGTGTGACTGATACGCCTCAAATTAGGTGATTGTGGTTCAGTGTTTTGGCTGTCAGTCATCCTCTCTGCCGGATCGAACACTTCACTGCCTGATGACAGTTTAGAAAGAAATGAGCGATCATTATATAAATCAGTGGTTTACACAAAGCACTGTAACAAGATAGATATGCAGATGCTACACTGTAACTAGTTAATTATTAGGAGTTTGTTGAACATTGGGGTGTTTTAAAAAAGGCAGGGGAGGTGATTTAGTTAACACATTTGTTGTTATGCTGGTTGAAATTCTCTTCACATCCTGATAGCAATTACTCAGTTAAGTGGTCTAAATGTACTTTATATATATATATATATATATATATATATATATGTGTGTGTGTGTGTGTGTGTGTGTGTGTGTGAAGTGTTCAGATGCAAAAGCCTCCAAGTACGTCTTATGATGGTTTTTGCTTTTTGAATTGAAGAATAATACATTAAGTTGAATAGTCTGCGTGTATTGGTGGATGCTACTCTACCTTTAATGAAACCGGTTGTAGAAAATTATAGATGGTGAGACCTTTTCTATTCTATCGACTAATTCTTTGGAACAATTTTTTTGAACTACGGCTCTGTGTAGTAAATGCTGCTCCATCTGAAAGCAGGTGATGGAGATTTACTACTAATCATGGAACCGGCTTTACTGACGAGATGCGCATGACAATCGCATGCAATTAATTGCACAGCCCTACTATAGACTGTAAAAAAGATGGACGACGAATAGTCTCCTATTCCTTCCACTATAGAAAAGTGAAGCCAAAGCATCTCAGCATGGCCGCTGCCATCTTGAGTAAATGACGTCATTTGGAGCCAGAGTCTGTGCAGTAGAGATTTGTTTGGAGCCAGAGTCTGCGCGGAAGTGTCGTGAGGTGGAGCCACGGTATCAAAATCCCGGCCAAATTCCAACAGACCCAATTAACCATAACGACACGCCCCGTTTTTATTGGATCAAATTACTAGCTAAAATCAAACTTATCACAAAAACGAACAATTGAACATAAATCGGCGTGATAACAACTACCTTAAATGACCAAAACCATCTTTCGGAAAATTGTATTGGAAGTGTAATTCATTTTTTTATTTTGACTCAAGTCCCATTCATTTACATGGAGAGGGCGGGGTTTGTGACCAGTACTGTAGCCAGCCACCAGGGGGCGATCAAAGAGCCAGCAGCTTCACTTTTCAGGACGTGTGAGGCACACCCGGGTTCTGCTGTATTTTGCCGCCCGCGTCTGGTGTAGACACAGTGTTTAATGTCGTTGGTGAGGGGGAAAGCCTGTGTGTGTCCTATGCCTTAGCGGACAGCATGAAACCCACAAAAAAAACAGAGAATAATAATAGTTATTCTCTCTATGCTATTTTTCAATGTTTCAAGTGATGTAGGTGTTTTCTTTTTCCCCTGTAGGTTTTTTAAATTAAAAAAACATAAATTTTCCATACAGATAGCAAACGGATGTGGGCCACTTCAGGCATTGATGCGGCACTGCAGGCCTTCTTATGGCCCGGACAAAATGGTTGTGAACCTGAAGTGGGCCACATGTAAAATAACAAATATGGCCCAAATATCTCAAATCACATGTGGGCCTTTTTAGGCAAAGATGCGGTGCTTATGGCAATGTGTAATCTGAATGTGACCCTAAAGTGGCCCATGTGGTAAATAATGAATATGGCCCAAATATCACAAAACAACAGTGGGCCTCCTTTGGCAAAAATGTGGCACAACTGACAAAGGGAAATCTGGGTGTAAACCAAATGTGGCCCAGTTATCT